CATTCCTAAGCCTGTTGCTTTTCCCTGCACGGCCCAGGCAAGACCAGATTTTCCAGAAGGAAGACCAGATTGTCTTAATTAAATCTTATTTGTCAAGAAGGCAAGAGGTATTTGTGTTTCCTTGGGCTCCCATTGTTATAAACATTGCGAGGTTTTTTCTGAAAAACCTTCTTTTCTGCTCTGAGGAGCTGATTGTTGCTGTTTTTCTCTCTTCCATTGTGAGGAGGAAATGCTACACGTTCTTTGTCAGGTAATCAATTATCCTCCTTAAAGCGTCCCTGAAGTCGTCATCTGAAAATTATGGCTGTGAAAAATAATAAAATGCCCACTGTAACTTAATTGTTGCATGTCAGAGTGAGTTTCTCTCCCGCAGAGTCATAGAGCCTGTAAATCGCCTATGGTAATGACCTCTGGTTCCAAATGCAGTCACTAGTCTCTGCAAAGACAGACACTGTCTGTCACTTCTGCGGTGTCACTGTTGACACTGTGTCTCTTTTAGCTTCTGGGAAGTCCCGTAACGATCTTGCAGTTAGCAATGCATCCTTCCCTCTCTTCCAACTCCAATTGCTCTAATTTATGTCCCTTGACAACACTCACACTAAGCACACCATGTGTACCACTGTGTGGGGAAGGAAGTTCTCAGGTTCAAAATCTCAGGCAGATAAACAACACAACTTCAAGTTCACGGACATCCTAAGCAATCAACATCAATTACCCCACCAAGAAAGCAAGACCTTTTTATTGTTGGCAAGTAGCAGGTAATTGATGAGCTTGTCAGCATGATCTATGGTCCCTGATCTGTATCAATATGAAATAAGAAACCATTTAAGAGGTGTTAGGAAAACATGGCAGGCCCCCCTCCTCCTCCTCCTACCATTTGACATTGACTTATTCACGTATGAAATTGACTCTTTGTGATGGTGAAGTGTTAAAGACCCTGTGTAGTCAAATTACTATCATGGAACCAGCGAGTGAAAACAGGTTACTAAATGTCCCTGGTTCCTCCTCATTCAAACAGGTAGAAGAAAACAAACAGAAGGCTTAGATGCAAATGTGCATTGATGCCCAGTTGTTCACGAGAAATGATATATACCAAGAAAGGGAAAGCTGGGTGGTGCCCAAGATAATTCAGGTTAAAAAGGCTTTTATCAGAAGATCAAAGACATCCAGGCACAGCTTGAAGATGCAGCCATAGTCGATCCATCATGTCTTCTTGTGAATGAACCTCAAGTTTCATGCCAACACAGAGACACACTAAATGTCCCTGTGACATTCAGTGGAAATACTGAAGCATCATTGAAATTCCTTGAGGCAAGGTTCACTTGTTCAGGTCCCAAGATCTTTTCTGAGAGCTGGACAGAAAAGGTCCAGCTCCTTCACTGGGCTTCAGTTCCCTTATTTAAAACTACACATTCCTTTGAACATTCCTTGTTTGTTGCCCAATGCGAGATAATGGAGAGGTGGTAGAAAAGTTGAACCTGTTTCTTCTGAGGTTCCCAGAAGAAAAATCTTGATCTCAGGGCATCCTAAGAAGTGTCCTGGGGAGAATGTCCTTGATGTTATGAATGTATTGGGTAGGAATCACAGCCTCTGATGGAAAGTCAAACTTTCAGACTCACCAAAAGTTCCAAAAAGAGGGCTCTGAAGTGCATGTGGGATCTTCATATGTCTTTTTGCAAGTACATTATTCATTCATTCCCAAGGCATTTGGCCATTCCACTGTAATTCACAGTTAGTTGGTTAATTGCTGCTGTAGACCCCAACATTCAGATATCCTTCTTCTTTGCAAGCAGAGCCCTGATTTTGCTCAGATATTGGGAAGCAATGTGCTCTCTAACACCAGGGAGTGGATTACCATTGGTCTGAGCCCATGGTGGCAATCTCATTTACTTTTAGTGATTGGCTTGTTGGGGGACATGTGAGTCAAGGCTAGTCAATGAGATATAATTTGGGAGTCTTTTGGTAGGGCCTTCTGGGCTCTCTAATTCAAGGGGATCCTCTGGGTTCTCTAATTTAAGGGAATCTCTTTTCTATCTTCTTTATTCTGGTCATGACTCTGAGTGGATGTCATGGCAGGTGAGATGGCAACCGTCTTGTCTCTATGAGGGCACAAGGCAGAGGAGAAAGCTGCCGCACAGAGGACAGGAGAGCAGAGCTACGGGGCATCAGCAGCAAGTGGCTAAGGTGACCAGCAGGGGACTTGTCGATGTGTGGCTCTCAGACTTTTCCTTATTGCTGTAAGCATTTTACTCTGAGAAGGACCAGCTCTTCCCACACTCCACTACTTCATCTATAAGCCGAGAGGTGCCTGGGAGTCCCTTGGCCTCCACATGAGGCCACCCCTTCCCTGGCCCACACCTCAATTGACAGGGAGTGATAGGAAGCCCCACAATGCTGCATGAGCCTGGAAAGACCCTCACATTTCTGCCCCTAAATATACACCTTCCTTAGCACATTTCACCCTGAGAGCATGGAGTTAATCGTGGGATGCCTTCTATCCCTGTTGAAGTCCATCTCCTCCTGGATCCCAGGGCTCCTGGGTCATCCTTTATCTCCTGGACTCTCAGCCCCACATGACCCAGTGGGAAATGAGGCCAAAGTTCTATTTCTCTGGCCCTTCCTGCCCTGTTTCTGTGTCAGTTTCCTTTACAGCATTGTCACCGTCTGACTCAGTCTTTCCCGGGGATACTGGAGGAGATCATCTTAGCCCAGACCTCCTCACCCAGAGCCGAAGGTCAACCACAAGAGTCAGTGCCTTTGGGGTAGATGCAGTCCCAAGGGTCCAGGGTGGGGAAACAGGAAGTGAGGTGAGGAGGTTGGGAAGCGATGACTGAGCTGGTGACAGCCTCCCAGAGACCCAGCTGGTCACCAGGTCACGTAGACCATCTCCAGACAAGGTGTGCAGAAACGCCCCATATGAGGATGGTTGGGAGGGGCCATTTATAGCTAATCTCTCTTTTCTCCTCTCCCTCAAGGGTCCAGGTTTGCTCTTCAGGGAGTCATCTCTTTCTTAACACCATCACCCATTCCCTTGGCGGCTGCTGGGGAAGCCAGATCCCACGCTCATCTTTGCGGCACCTTAGCTGAATCCAGAATTGGTGGAGGATCCAGAATCTTGGGGAGTTGGTCTCAGGACATGTGTGGTGTAAGGCCTGAAATTGAGGTGCAATGTTAAGTATGGCCTTGATGTCTTTGAGCTTCACAGGGTTGCAGAGGCCTAACCACTAGTTTCCTTCCCTCACTGATACGCCCCCAGCTAGTTTCCTTCCCTCACCGATATGCCCCCGCTCAGTGGGAAAGGCTCCCACCTGGCAGGTTCCCTGTCAACTGGAGCAGCCGCATTCTACCTGGTCCTCAGCTTAACTGCCTTCGCCTCCCTGCCCACAGGAACCAGGGGCACCTCACCCCCTGTTACTTCAAGGTTTGCTTCCCCCAGCCCCTCCTGTTCTCTCTGTTCCTAGGCGCACCTCCTGTGCCTCTGCAGGGTGCGTGTTGTCCTCCCCTGTGGGCTGTGAGTGTTTGTGACTGACCTGCTGCCCATCTCATCTGTCCAGCACTGGGTGTCGTGTGCTCGGCCATCTCATACTATTTAGGGTGAGGATGCCTCCCTCACCCACGGGGTGAGCAGGAGGCAGTTGGAACACAGTGGCATCCTGTGGACCTGCACTGAGTCAGTTCCTGCAGTAGAAGTTGGGGAAACCTGAGGTGACGCGCTGCACGGGTCTTATACACAGCCCGGATGGTTTGTATCTTACTTGCTTGCCAGTTTCTCTCTAGTGGAAAATACATTTCTTAAGGGCAGAAATTTGAGGCTGCGTTTTTCTGCTGCCACAACTGAAGTACCTGTAAGATTTCTGGCACATAGTAAGCCTTCAGTAAGTATCTATGGAATGAATAAATAAATAAACCAATGCATTCACTAAATAACCCTGGGTGGGAAAGAATGAAGATGTGATTATTAAGGCTAGGTGTATTAGGGCTCTCTAGAGAAACAGAACAGATAGGCTGGGTGTGGTGGGGCACGCCTGTAAACCCAGCACTTAGAGAGGCCAAGGTGGGTGGATCGCTTGAGGTTAGGAGTTTGAGACCAGCCTGGCTAACATGGTGAAACCCTGTCTCTACTAAAAATACAAAAATTAGCCAGGTGTGGTGGCACATGCTTGTAATCCCAGCAGCCCAGGAGGCTGAGGCAGGAGAATGGCTTGAACACAGGAGGCAGAGGTTGCAGTGAGCCAAGATTGTGCCATTGCACTCCAGTCTGGGTGACACAGTGAGACTCTCTCTCAAAAAAAAAGAAAAAGAAAAAAAGAAAAAAAGCCAGGTGCGGTGGTTCATGCCTGTAATCCTAGCACTTCGGGAGGTCGAGGTGTGGATCATGAGGTCAAGAGATTGAGACCATCTTGGCCAACATGGTGAAACCCTGTCTGTAGTAAAAATACAAAAATTAGCTGGACTTGGTGGCACAAGCCTGTAGTCCCAGATACTCAGGAGGCTGAGACAGAAGAATTGCTTGAACTTGGGAGGTGGACGTTGTAATGAGCTGCGATCACGCCACTGCACTCCAGCCTGGCAACAGAGTAAGACTCCATCTCCAAAAAAAAAAGAAAAAGAAAAAGAAACAGAACAGATGTCTGTATCTATATCTATATTTATTATGAGAATGAGCCTATGTGATTATGGAGGCTGAGAAGTCTTGTGACTTCCCAGCTGCAATATGGAAAAACCAGGAAGGCTGGTGGTAGAATTCACTCCAAGTCCCAAGGTCTGAGAACCAGGAGAACCAGAAGCACTCGTGTCTGAGGTCAGGATAAGGTGGATGTCCCAGCTTAAACAGAGTGTGAATTGGCCTTTCCTCTACTAGTTTGTTCTATTGTTTTATCCAGGCCCTGGATGAATGGAAGGATGAATGGAGGGGTATCAATCCACACTGGCAAGGGTGGAGCTTCCCTACTCAGTCTACTGATTCAAATGCTCATCTCTTCCAAAAACATCCTCACAGAACTACCTAGCATAATGTTTTACCAGCTATCTGGGCATCCTGTAGTCTATTCATGTTGACATATAAAATTAACCACTACGCTAGGTTATGTGGGAAAAGTTGTCAATATTTCATTCCTTTTTTATGATCTTGAGGAAGACAATGTGGAGGGAGAACCTTCAGGTCTTCAGGGAACCACAGCTTCTCCCCACTCTCTGTTTCTCCCCAAAGTGGTGATGGAGTGGACAGGTGGATGGTGACAATCTTTCTCCTTCCTCCTCTCCCTGTCCCTGCACTAACCCCAGCCTCCTCCCTCTGTCATGGGAACCAACTTTCATGGCTGCAGCTTTGGGTCCAACACTTTAGTCCATTGCATTTCTTCCAACACTTAAGGTCAACGTTTTAGGGTAGGAATGAGTATGCAGTGCACCTGCCTGCTCTTCTGTGAGCTTTGGAGTAGCCTGAAAGAAGTGGGAGCCTCTCTGCTGAGCACATTTTCCATGCGGGGCAGCAAATTCTTCCTTAAAAGGGGATCGGTGCAGCACATCTCCACGTCTGCCACTGACTGGAGATGGTCCCCAGGAAGCTGAGGTCATGCAGAGGCTTGACCGCCAACCAGCTGTGTGTGAACACATCAGAACACTTTGCAATCTGTCTCTGGTCTATCAAATGGAGAGAACACTGAATTTCATTGATTCTAAGACGCACCTTTTTCCCATGTTAATATCTCTCTAGTCTGGTTATGTCACCTAATTGATGGGATCTGATCACGTGTCAGAATTTAATTGTCAATGTGTTTTCTTTCTCAGTGGTACACAGTACAATGATGCATCATGCAGTCAATCTGGTCTTAGATGTGTGACCTGCAGGATCACTCCCATTGGCCAACCATTATGAAGGTCAGATGAGGCAACAGGGTGTGACAGGCCTTTGCAAATTATAAAATGCCCCACAGTCACTCATCCAGGCTCTACCTGGGGCAAATTCCTTAATAGCATTTTTCCTCCCCAGGTCTCATGTGCCTCATCCTTTCCCAAGTACGATGGACTGGACATGATGTTGATATTTGCTCTACTGGGTGATGGGTGGAGGTGATGTCTCCAGAAACCCAGGACCCAGGAGCACCACCAGGCCTCTGTGAACAGAGTTCAGATGCAACGGAGACAAAGCCCCTGGGTGAGATGGTCCCAGGCCTCCTTCCAGATCTGACATTCTAGGGCCCAGGAATGGTATTTCTCTGAGGTCTTGAGGGAGAGAGGCTGGTGAGGCTGGCACTGCACACCCCAAGCCACACTAATGCCCAGCCCCAAGCTCACTGCTCTGGGAAGTCTGCAGCAAGGGACACATCCTCACAGCTGCTGGCCTCTGTGTGGCTCATCAGGGCATGAGGGAAAGACCCCGTAGAGCCCAGCCGGAGGCATGATTGTCTTAAGGCAGGAGGCTGCTGCAGAAAGAATGGAAATCTCGGAGACTCCATGTCTAAGAAATGTCAGCAGCGAGAAGTGTATGTGCTGGCCGTGTCTGCACAGGGCAAATGGCAGCAAGTGCTGCGGTCCTGATACAGTCTTACAGGGAATCTAAAGGATGGGCCACAGGAGAATGGGAAGCCCAGCTGGGCGCCCAGGGCCAGCTGTGTCCACAAGACTCACTGTTCTGAGCTCTGGGCATCGAGTACAGTGCTGGAGCCACCACGGAGACCAAACCTGTGCAGATGACCCATCAGGGTCATCTGGAGGCATTTGCACCCATCAGCCTTAACTGCTAGCTTGCCACTCTCAGAGCCTGTAGCTTTCACATTTCCTAAGTAAAAAATCACTTTTGTCATAAAAGAAATAAATATTCATTGTAAAAGCAAATAATCCCGAGTACTGCCTTGCCACATGTCACCTGGAGTTTAGATGCTGAAAGGTGGCGGCATGGACCTGCCTGTCACATGCGGAGATCCGTCAAGATTCTGCCCACACCTGCTCTATGAAGAGCTGAGCCATGAGCCCAGCATTCAAGGCTCCCTGTGTTCCCGGCCCAAGTGACAGATAGGGGGACAGAAATCATTTCCTGCTGCTGTGACCCACTTCCCCTCCCTGATGCTGCCTGATTTATTTTTGGGAATTCCCCTCCCATGTAGGACAGTTGCAGGAGGAGGGGATTGCTGGTAACGTTTCCCTAGGGAAGCTGAGGGTGCAACCCTGCCTCCCGATGTGGGTTTCCTGAGGGATGAGCCCTGGCCTAAGTGACCCCTCACATGCGCTTTCCTGGGACTTTGAGTTTTGAGCAAGTGAGGGAAAGAAGCGGGGGGGATCCCTTGTCCCAGGGGTAGCATCCTGACCGTCCAGTTCTGGGTGGGGGCTGTCTCTTGGTGGATTCTGTGGTTCCTTCCACTGTTCCCCACCCTCATCTACTCTGGGAGGCTGGAGACCCTCCTGATGGAGCCTTTTCTCCTCACGCTTTTCAGGCGCATCCTTGTTACTTATGGCCGAGACCCTTGACTGCACTGCAGTTAGCCCAGCCCTCCAGGTGAGGACAACTTTGGATTCCCATGCTCCTGCTGCCAGAAGATATGAGACCCCTCCCATGCCAGCTCTTATAGGATCCCTCCTCTGAATCTCTGGAATCTTCCCTCTGGGAGAAAACGAGGGGTCTCAGTGAGGTGACCTTTGGTCTTGCCTGGAAACAGCCACTCAGGGCAGCTGCAGGGGAGGACGGGAACCTGGGACCAAGACACGGGCCATCTAAAGGAAGTCAGTGGTGGGAGGTGGGTCCAGGCTCAGAAGGGCAGAACCAGACCTGGGAAGCCATCAAGAAATGTGGCTGTCACTCTGCCCCTCTCCTCAGAGCCTCTCACGTGCTCCCTGGCCAGTTACTTCATTCTTTTCTTCTTTTTGCCTCCCTGATGACGTGGCTGAAAATCGCAGCCCCCACGGTCCCCAGATGTGCATTTCTTTAGTTCAGTGCCTTAAAGAGATTCTGATTGGCCCCTAGGTCGGAGGACTCTACCCCTTCCAGTCTGCTGTGGACAGGAGTCAGGTCACAGAGGGCAGCTGCAGGCCACGCCTGGGAGTGTGAGGAGGCTGTTGTCTGAGAAGGATGTAAGGGCTGGGCATGTGTTCCCAAAGCCATCCCTCAAGAGACCTGGGATTGTGCCCCTTGCTGGGGAGGATGATGGGCCAGCGACGTTCAGAACTTCCACCCGAAATGGCTGAACGAATTAACTCACCCCCATATGGGGGAAATCTACAAACTACTTTTTAATGAATGGCCTCTTCAGAAACTGCTCTAGGGGAAAAGATGACTCTGGTTGTTGCAGCCAAAGTCTGTTTCCCTTTGTACAAAGACTGATTTGTAACACTCACCATAAGCCATTCATTTTACTTTCGGGGAATGAACTCCAGAAGAAGTTCTCTTTCGCAAGCCTATCAAATAATAGGTGATTTTGAGCAAGAGCTTTCATAAGCAGTGTGTCAGGCTAACCCACAGTAATGTGAGACATTTAGAAAATAATTTGATTCTCTCTCTTACTTCTGCCGCCCCAGCGAATGGCATGACTGTGAAAAGTGTGACGGGGATGATGACTTCAGAGGCAAGGTTCCCTCTTCCCGGAGAGAAGCCACGCAGTCTGACTTCTCCCAATCAGACCACATTTTTTATTTTCTTGCTCTCCTTTTATACCGAGGCACTTTGTTTCTTCATTTCATTTTGATTTTTGAGATATAAATCAAAATTCACATACAACTCACACTTTAACAGTATAAAATTCAGTATTTTTTAGTATTCGAAAGGTAATGCAACCCTCACCAATATCCAGTCCCAGAACATTGTCACTGCGGAAAAGAAACCCTGTACCCATTAGCAGTCCTTCCCCAACTGTCCTAAGGAATTACTGATTTATTTTCTGTCTCTGTGGACTTGGCTGTTGTGGACATTTCATAAATGGGACCATATACTATGTGATCTTTTGTGTCTGGCTTTTTTCACTTGTTATAATGTTCTCAAGGTTCATTCACACTGTAGCATGAATCAGCATTTCATTCCTTTTTATGGCTGAATAGCATTCCATTGAATGGATAACTCTTTTGTTTTTGTTTTGTTTTGTTTTTTTGATATAGAGCCTTGTTCTGTCACCCAGGCCGGAGTACAGTGGCATAATCTCAGCTCACTGCAACCTCCACCTCCTGGGTTCAAATGATTTTCATGCCTCAGCCCCCTGAGTAGCTAGGATCACAGGCATATGCCACTACACACTGCTGATTTTTTTATTTTTAGTAGAGACGGGTTTTCACCATGTCACCTAGGTTGGTCTCGAACTTCTGGCATCAAGTGATCTGCCCCACCTCAGCCTCCCAAAATGCTGGGATTACAGGCATGAGCCACCACTCCCAGCCTACTCTTTTGGTTTTAAGTGAGAAGCAATTCAAATTACCTTAAACAAACAAACAAACAAAAGAATGTTAGGCCTCACATCACTGAAGAGTCCAGAGGTGTGGCTGGCAGATACCAAAACGATTCCCAATGACCCTCTTCCTTATAAAGCCTCTTCCCCTTGAGTGTGGGTGGAGCGGGAGCTTGTGAATAGGCTACTACTCCTGTGACATCATATGACACTGGGGATTGTGCAGATCTAATTAAGGCTATTAGTTGACTGACTTTGAGCTAATCAGAAGGCAGATTAGCAAGTGAACCTGACCTAATCATGCTAGCTGTTTAATTCTGGGCCTAGAGATTGGAGATAGAAGTTAGGAATTCAAATCACAAGAGTTATTCAAAATGCCATTGGCTTAAAAATGGGGGAGTGACCTGGCGTGGTGGCTCAAGCCTGTAATCCCAGCACTTTGGGAGGCTGAGGCAGGCAGATCACAGGTCAAAAGATCAAGACCATCCTGGCCAAAATGGTGAAACCCTGTCTCTACTAAAAACACAAAAATTAGCTAGGCATGGTGGCATGAGCCTGTAATCTCAGCTACTCAGAACGCTAAGGCAGGAGAGTTGCTCGAACCCAAGAGGCAGAGATTGCAATGAGCCGAGATCACGCCACTGCACTCCAGCCTGGCAACAAAGTGAGACTTTGTCTCAAAAAAAAAAAAAAACAAAAACTGGAGGGGCCTGAATGCCAAAGACTCAGGAGGCTTCTAGGAGCCGAGAGTGGTTCCTGGTGGACATCTGGCCCGAAGATGGGAGTTTGGGAACCTTAGCTTTTCATGTTTTGTTTTGTTTCTCTGCACTCTCATGTTTATTGCAGCAGTATTCACAAGAGCCAAAATATGGAATCAACCTAAGTGCCTGTCAGTGGGTGAATGGGTTTTAAAAAGTCTTATACACACAATGGGTTATTATTCAGCCATAAAGAAGAATGATGTCATGTCATTTGCGGCAACATGGATGGAGCTACGGGCCATCATTTTAAGTGAAATAAGCCAAGCACAGAAAGACAAATATCACATGTTCTCACTCCCACGTGGGAGCCACAAAGGTGGATCTCATAAAAATAGAAAGTAGATTGGTGTCTACCAGAGGCTGGAAAGGTAGGGGGTGGGGGCATGAAAGGAAGTTGATTGATGGGTATGAATGCATAGTCATATAGAAGAAATATTTAGTATTGTATAGATCAGTAGGGTAACTACGCTTTACAATAATCTATTGTACATTTCAGAATATCTGGAAGAAAGAGCTTTTGTCTTGTAACCAAATGGAATTAAATTGTGTCAACAACAGGAACTAGCTTGGAAGCAGATTTTGCCCCTGAGTCAATAAGAACTCAACATCTTGATCTCAGCCTTGTGGGACTCTGAGCAGAACCCAGTACTGGTGGGCCAAACTTCTCATCTACAGAATTATGAGCTAATAAATAGGTGCAGTTTTGAGCCACTAAGTGCATGGTAATTTGACACAAGAATAGAAAACTAACACAAAAGGCCAGCTGCCTTCAGGTACCGCTCCATCCGGGTGCTCAGATGACATTGCGAGGTCTCCCTGTCTCTGTGACTCTCCAGGCTCGTTTGTTTAGTTGGTGCATTTGGAGGATGGCCCTCTCCTTGTGATGATGCCTCCAGGAGCCCCTCTTCCTTCTCCCAGCTTCCCTATCCCAGGGGAAAGGGAGCCTCTTTTACCATTCATAAAACAGCCCTTGGATCGAATTTCATTTGAAGGGTGATTCTCATGAGCTCCTCCCTGAACCAACTGCTTCAGCCAAGGCTGAACCCTGCACTGAACGAGCAGGGCTGGGTCCACCCCACCCACGGATGGAGAGCTGGGGAGGTGTGGCTTTTCCAAAGAGGACTCAGGACCCAGAAAAAGCAGCAGGTGCTGGGTGGGAACACCAGGGGTGTCCCCCACATTCATGCATCTGTCTCTCCTGCAACTCATGGGGCACAGCCTGTGCCACCCCCTCTGTCCTGGAAGACTCAGTGCCCATCCTCCATAACTCCAGGATGGAGCTGGCCCTCCCAGAGCCCTCACCATGGGTTGTGGAGCATGGCGTGTTGAAGGGACAATGATTCAAGTCCTGATTAGACATCTGGTTGGAGCCCTTACACTGGATATCTCCTCGTCCTCGTCAGCCGTGGCTGACTCTTCCTTGTCATTCCTGACATGGTGGAAGGAAAATTTTTGGAGCATCTGGGAAGGGTCTGGTGAAATGGCTCTACTCTAGACTTTTTGAAAAACTAAAAAATCTCTTTAGGGTCTTAGAGACCCATGAAAGGGAATGACTTCAGTGTAACTGGATGAAGACAAACTTAGGGACTTCGTTGCCCCTGCAGAGCTGGGTCTCGGAGCTTTCATGGAGTGCACAGGTGAATATACAGGCTCTGGAGTCAGACCTCATGGGCTCAGGTCCCAGCTCTGCCTCTTACAGCTCTGCAATCTTGTCTAAGTTACTTTGGCTGTGCCTCAGTTTCTTCATCTGTAAAATGGATCAGATAATAATGCCCACCTCAAAGTGTGGGTGTGAGGATGAAATGAGCTAACATGTGCTTAGTATGGCACATAGTGAGTGCCTGCTGAATGTGACTAGCCACTAATACTATCTGAGTGTGCATTTCCCCTGAGATATTTAATATTTATGTCCATTTCAAAGATCAGGAGACTGTGACCAAATGTTCAGTACTTCTGGAAAATACTTCCATTTATGCTGTCTCCAAACTGGCAGCATTAGGAATAAAAGAGGAGATAAATTAGATCGTCCATGATGATTTGCTCTGAACGCCCTCCTCAAGAGCTCTTTACAGCATCACCTCCTAATGTACAGTGAAAATGTGCTTGGTTGTGTCCTAGCCAAGCCTAGGTAAACAAGGGAACTAACCTACTAGGTTATCGGTCTAAGCATCTCATAATCTACTAGGTAGGACACAAGATGTTCTATCTGTGCTGTTTCTTTTACTGTTATGTCAACCTTTTCGGTATCACATGCATTTTGTGGATGAGTAAACTGAGGTCCAGAGAAGTTAAGTAATTTGCCCAAGGTCACACAGAAAGTATCAGAGCTAGATTTGAATCTATGATGGTGTGCTTCCAAGGGCCAGATGATTTCAGCTGTACCTCAGTTTTATTTTTTCCCAGAGAAACAAGAGAGAAGCTGAGGGCACCATCTGTGGTGGATTCATGCTGTGGGATCACTGAATAGTGTCTATATTTGTATTAAGGAGTCATTTTGAAAGAACATTTCTAAGGCCCTCCAATCCGCGGCCCAGTATTTTACCATCATTTGTCCTCAAATGCATTGGGAACCATGTATTCACTCTACATGGTTTAAGAGGGACCATGGCATTGGCCTTTCCTTGTTTCTCAGAATCCTTATTTCATCTCCTCATTTTGCTCCTTTCTCCACAATGTTCTTTTCAAGACTTTGACCTTGAGCCAGAATTAGGTGATAGGTTACATTGTCAGTGGCTGAATGTCTTAGGTTTTCTAAGGCAGTCCTGCTTGTCAACCTTCTGTTCTCAGCACATTTCTGATCCGGAGACCCATGTTGCCTTGGTTATAGCTGGTGGCTTTGGTGACTGCAGAACCACTGCTCTGGAGCCATTCACTTCACAGGAAGGTTGACTCCACCCTGAGTCCCACAGGCCTCTACTGTACCCACACCCCATTGTGTTGGTGTGGTCAAAGAAGAGAAGGAGAGAGAAGCTTCTGCAGAGATCTCGCAATGCTCCTCACAAGTGTTCTTTTTGTTTTTAGAGACGGAGTTTCTCTTTGTCGCCCAGGCTGGAGTGCAGTGGCATGATCTCGGTTCACTGCAACCTCTACTTCCCAGGTTCAAGCGATTCTCCTGCCTCAGTCACCCAAGTAGCTGGGATTGCAGGTGCCTGCCACCATGCCCAGCTAATTTTTGTAGTTTTAGTGGAGACAGGGTTTTGCCATGTTGACCAGGCTTGTCTTGAACTCTGACCTCAGGTGATCCACCCACCTCGGCCTCCCAAAGTGTTGGGATTACAGGCATGAGCCACCACTCCCGGCCACAAGGGTTCTTGTCTTTGCTTGTCTCTGCTTTTATCTCTGGGGAAATATCACATTCACTTTCCATCTTCGTGGACTTGTACCTGTAATATGACTACAGTCTATGCTTTCTAGAATTTTCTCAAATCCCCCATGAAATGATGTTTTTCATGGCAGAGGTTGTGTCTTCAGTGTATCCTAACAGGGCTTGATCTGGAACCTCACCCAGAGTAAGCGTGGATTTGAAGCACTAGGGTCTTGGCGATCTTGGAGCAGCTTGGTCTTCTTAGCCAGGCCTGTGTGGTGGGGATGCCGAGGGGAGGAATGATTGATGGGAGAGATCGCGTGACAGCACAGAACACTCCCCTGGGGCTAAAACAACGTCAGGGTCTGCTGTTGCAGGCTGGCCAGCCTGGTGGGCATATAGATTTGGTGGGAAATTTTTGTCAGAGTTGTTAACCTTTTTCTCTTCTTGTTTTCCCCTTTTCTTTTCTTCCATTTTAAGCAGGGAGGCAGTCTTG